GCATCCTGGCTGTAAGGGAGATTTATGAGGAGCACAGTCGGCTCAGCAGCCTGGAAGATGACACGGACTAAGAGTAAGGTGCTGCCAAGCTGGCTGTACTTCAGCCTTAGACGCCTTGTCTCTCTGCCTCCCACTGCAGGGTGGGGGCTGTGCGGCATGGGAGGGGACGGTGCTGTGGCAGTTCTGTCCCATCGTCATTACTTGGATATCCCGTCCTGCTCGTTACAGGTCTCCACTACGTACATGGCCCCCATGCTCAGTCCTCCCTCCTGTCCCAGCTGCTGGGTGAGCTGTCCTCCTCGGGGCCAGTACCCACAGCACAGGGGTGGCAGAGCCCCCAGGGCAGCTCCGATTGCCCAACCCTGTTCCCCTCTACCCCCAGCCCTGACACGACACCCCAGGGCAGGTACTGCACAATACCACAGAGCACTGTCTTGAGGCTTTTAATTCCCCCTTCCTTTAGCATCCTCTCATGAGGCTGAGGGTGGCACAACAGGAACAATAGCTCTTCTGCTGTGGCAGGATGGTGTTTTCAAGGACTATCAGCAGTCTGAGCAACAGTGGCTTTGTGCCCAGGAGTGGGAGAGGTTTGGGCTGGCTGTGGGTAGCAGAGGTAGCTAGCACTGGAACATGTGAGCAGAGTGCCAGCCTCACCCGTGGGGACACTTCCCTCCTACACAGCTGGGATGCCTCCCTTAATTTTGTCAATATTTTCTGAGTCAGTGGAAAACTGATGGAGATGGGTCGTACCAGTGCTGCCCCTCTCTTCCTGCTGTCTGCCATTCTGGTGTAATCTCCCTCCCTCTTCCAAGGTCCCATCAGTGCATCCCTCCGTTCCAGACAGGGCTTCAGGCAGCTGCTGTCGGAAGCAAGGAGCTCTGCCTGGCCTCTTCCTTCCTCCCAAAGCAGCAAGGTGCCAGGGCTGTGCCTAGGCAAATGAGGCTCTGGCTGTGCTGCTTCTTGCTGCCTCCTGCCTCTCCTTGTGTTCTGGTCTGTTTTCTTGAGCTGTACATGGGTCTCCTGTTGAGCCTGTATATATTGTTCTGGGCCCTGGCCCAGGGCCATCTGTTCTCTGTGTCCATGTGGAGAGTGAGCTGCTCACCAGTCTTGTTGTAGTGATGCCAGGGCGGTAGGACTAATCCTGTGTCTCTGGAAAGCATTCATTTCAAATAAAGATGCAGAAAACTTTTGGCAGCCCCTGCTTTCACCCCCTGGGCAGATTGGGCACTGCAGGAGAACAAGGCCAGTCTATCAGCACTGCTGTGCACCTCTCTATCCCTGCCTGCCTGCGCTGCCTGCAGTTTCTACCTTTCCTGGCTCCTGGTGTGCTGCCAGCTCTGGCATGCTCAAATGGCCCCAGACCCCATGCCTGCTGGTGCCAGCCTGGCATGCCCTGTATCTCCCTGCCCATCCCTTGTCTATGGGGCTGCAGCCCAACCCAGCAGTGGCCCTGCCCTGGCCACACAGTGTGTCCATGGGATAGACCAGTCAGAGAGCAATGCTGCAGTGTCTATGGGCAGAGCAGGAGTCAAATTATGTGCATTGGGTGTTTGTTTTCTCCCCCAGGGCTGACAGGCCCCTGCATCAGCCCAGCCCTACTCTCAGCCCCACTACTCCCAGGAGTGCAGGGAGTAGCTGAGCTGTGACCCTGGGACCATGCCCATCTCTCACACTGGTCTTGGGGTCCGTGCCACAAGCCTGGCAGGACCTGCAGACAGAACCACAACTGTGGCTGCCCATGCATCACCCATCCCTGAACATCCCAGCAGGCCATGTTCATACTGCCTGGTCTGCTGCTCATGCCTTCCCATGTGATCCACTGGCCACTCCCAGCCATGCACCTGCCTTCTCCAGGGGTGCAAGGCCATGGGGGGATCTGCCAGCAGCCATGGGGCTGCCACTGCCAGGCAGGGTGACAGAGGTGCTGTGTGGCACCACAGGGCCACCAGGACTGGGCAGGATGTGGGACTTGGGACCTGGCCTCTGCTGGCACTTGGTGAGACCCAGGTGGTAGATCTCCACCAGGTTGAGCAGCAGAGATATGCAGGCCACACCCAACATGAAGAGGATGAAGATGGTCTTCTCAGTGGGCCGGGAGATGTAGCAGTTGACAGTGTTAGGGCAGGGCCAGTGGCTGCAGCTGTAGAGGCCCTTCATCTTGAACCCGTACAAGGCATACTGGCCCACAATGAAGGCCACTTCTAAGAGCGCCTTGAAGACGATGTTGCAGACATATGTCCTCAGAATGGCCTCCCGCATGCAGACCCGTCCCTGTGTGTCCCCTGAAAGGACCTGGGGCTGCCTGAGACGCTGACGCCTAGCTGCACTGCCAGCCAGTGCTGTCGCTTCCTGCTGTGTCTTCTCCAGATGCACCAGGTGCAGGATGTGGCCCAGGTACACGAGGCTGGGGGTAGAGACGAAGATGATCTGCAGGACCCAGAAGCGGAGGTGGGAGATAGGGAAGGTGCTATCGTAGCAGGCATTCTGGCAGCCAGGCTGCTGGGTGTCACAGGAGAAGCCAGACAGCTCATCATCCCAGACCCGTTCAGCAGCCGCCCCCAGCACCAGGATACATAAGACAAAGAGGACGGTGAGCCAGACCTTCCCCACCACTGTGGAGTGCTCCTGGGTGCTCTCCAGCAGCCGACCCAGCAGGCTCCAGTCCCCCATGGCACACGTCGTGGTGCCCTGCAAGACAGCCATGCTCCAGACATGGACATCCCACAATGCACTAAACCATCATGCCATTCCCCCAGCCAGGCAGGCATGCAGGGACCCGACCCGGGGCTGTCTCTTAGGTGTCGCCACCCTGCATTCCACAGCCCCTCCCTAACCTGCCATGGGGAGGGCAGCAGGAGCAAAGACCTCTGGCAGAAAGCAGCCCTACCATGATGGGAGCACCATGGGGGATAGTGTGCAAGTGGCCCGGCATGGGGATCCCTCACCGTTGGTCAGCGTGCAGGGCAGAGCCTGGTGCTCCGGCGTTGTTGGCTTCCTTCAGGCAGGACAGCGCAGGATGCTGTGAGGCCCCTTCCCAGTTGGTCCGCAACTCCTCTGCAGGGTGCAGACAGCTCCACCCAGCTCTATCTCTCCACTGGCAGCGACTGCAGGGTTATTGGGGCATGAGGCAGCTACCTCATTGGCTTTCACTGTGACTGGCAGATGAAACAGCCACTGGGGAAATCTTTTCCTCTCTATTTTTGATCTGGGCATTTTTCTAAATATATTCGGGGCTTCAGGGGCTGGTGCTCAGGGACCATGAGCCCTTGGACACTGTCAATGCTACCCAGGGGTCACTGCTCCTGAATGCCAGCTGCAGAAGCATGCAGCCACGGCCCCAGCCCAGCCCAGGCACTGCAGCCCTCACATCCCTCTTGACACCCACCTGGGCTAGGGTATAGGGGTGGACACTCACACTGGCACCCTAGCCCCTAGCACATCCTGGCTGGAGCAGAAAGGAGGGAAGCAATGTCTGAGAATAGAGATTTAATGGCCCAGGATACCCTCCTTGCTGTCCGTGAGAGCCAGACCAGCGCCGGGAGGACAGGGGATGAGACAGGGACAGTAGAGGGCCACGGGGTGGCTGTGGGGTGGAGGCAAGGGCTGGGTCCCCTGCAGTGCTGACTCTAGCAGGCAGAGCAGCGGTCACCCTTTTCCTGCAGCCCGGGGTTGCGGCGCAACATGTCCTTGAGGGAGCCATCCTGCTCTGTCAACAGCTGGTTGATCTCATTCTGCTTGTATTCAGAGGAGAGCTTGTGCCCATAGAAGGAGCCCTTCCCTGATGGGGGATTGGAGTTGTGCTGACCTCGGCGGGCACAAGCTCGAACTACCAGGTAGACCAGCTCCGCCATGTTGAGAATAATGCAGATGCTGGAGGTGACCAGCATGAAGACAGTAAAGATGGTCTTCTCAGTGGGCCGGGAGATGAAGCAGTCGACAGTGTTGGGGCAGGGGTAAGCCTCGCACTTGACCAGCCGCACCATCTGGTAGCCTGGGTAGAGCATGTAGAAGATGTACATGAACACAGCCTCAAAGAGCAGCCTGAAGACAACGCTGCAAACATATGTCCACCACAGTGAACCTGATATACGCATTTTGTGCTTCTTCACCTCCTCCATGTGCTTGGCGTCTGCATGGCCAGTTAGCACCAGCAGCTTCTTCTCCTGGTGCTGCTGATAGGCCACGTGCATTGCCACGAGGAGGGCCGGTGTGGTGACAAGGATGAGCTGCAGGGCCCACAGACGGATGTGAGAGATGGGGAAAAAGTGGTCATAACAGACGCTGTTGCAGCCAGGTTGCTGTGTGTTGCAGGTGAAAGCAGATTTCTCATCCCCCCAGACACTCTCAGCTGCCACCACCAGCACCATTATCCGGAAAATGAAGATGACGGAGAGCCAGATGCGCCCAATAGCGGTGGAATGGCGATTCACCCCACTTAGCACCGTGTAGAGACCGGCCCAGTTCATTGTTCCTCACGCCTGCAGGAGCAAGCAGCCAGAGTGTTAGGAGTGCAAAGGACCCCTGGCTGAGAGCCACTGCATCCCAGCCCTGGTGGCAGCAGCCCCTGTAGGGACCCAGGAGCAACTGGCTGCTGCAGCCTTGACAGGTGGACGGCAGTATGGACAGATAGCAGGATAGCAGCATGACTCCCACTGCTGACACAGCTCAGGGCAGTATTTTGACTGGAGCAGGTAGGAAACCATTTGGTCCTGTAGTGCCAGCTGCTTTACCATGCCATGCCAGTGTGGGCACCCTGATCCACAGCTGCCACAGAGGACCCCCCCACCTCCACAGAGACCACCCCAATCTACACCCAGCTGTGAGCTGTCTGGCTAGGGATGGACCCAAGGAGCTTCCTGGGCTCCTCTGCATCAGCACCTCTCTCCCCTCATCCCCCCATTCCCCACAGCAGTGGGGCTGTGGACGCCCTAGCGGGGGAAAGCTCCCATGCAGCCCTCCATTGCCACCCTCCTAAAGCTGTCCCTGACTCAGGAGCATGGGGTTACCCCGCACTGCAAGCACAGACCCCCACCCCGCCAGGGCCACCCATCACCACTGAACAGCCTCACAAACTGCTTCCCACCCCAAGCACAACACTGGAGGGCTGGGACCTGCCCTCCGGCCACCCCTCATATGGACAGCCCTGGCAGAGCGTACCTGCCGGTGCGAGCGTCCCTGCCGGTGAGGAAGGGCCCTCGCGAGCTGCCCCCAGTGGCCCCTCTAAGGTCTCATGTCTCCTGCAGGAGACCTCTGCTCCGCCTGCCCTCGTCTCTATCTGCCACTGCCCTGCACTGGAAGTCATATGCTGCTTTATAAACTATTTACATACAATGGGGCCTTTATCGGTCCCTGAACAACACACTTTAGCATTCAGATCCAACGCCCTGACTTCCGCCCACCCTGGCCAAACAAAGTGCCTGTGTGATGCATTCCCCCTGCCCAGCCCAGCACCCACTGCCACCTCACCTTGCACCAAACACAGCCATGGCCCCTGAGTCCAGCTGCTGGCCACAGGGTGCTCATTGCTCTGCCCAGCAGGACCTGCACCACAGGTATCACTAGGCTGGACGGGCACCCAGAGTCCCTGGGGGGGTTCCTTCCCCAGGCTGTGTGGCAAAGCCAAGCTGTGTGCCCATCCTGCACGGTCAGCATCAGACACTGTGACTGGAACTGGGGACTGACTGCTCCCCAGCATGGCACTGGGCAATCTGTGGGGACCCCTGGGGCTGGGTGTGCTGGATACAACCCTTGTGGGTCCTGCTATGCCCTCAAGGGGGTTGGTGACAGCAATGATGGCTGCAAGGGCACTGGATCTTCTCTGCACATGCCCTGTCCTGCGGGGGACATGTGAAAGAGTCCACCAGGGTGAATCTGGCTGTGTGCTAAGGTGGGCAGCACCCAGTGCTGAGAGCTACTTGCCACTGGAGCTGCCACCTGGATGGGGGCCACTGACACTGCCCTGCTGCTCGGACACACTGGTGAGGGCAACAGCACCTATTGTTTGCAGGTTTTTTCCGGGGTGTTGACCCAGCCACACCATCACGCTGTGCCTCATCCTCCACAGAGATGGTGCCATGTCCCTTGGGCTTTGTCGTCAGCCTTGGGGGGAGGGGGTGGGCAGTGGGCAGACATCCAGGAAAAACCTATCAGCTGGGGCCCACAGGGTGGGGCAGCAATGCTGTCCCAAATACCACTTCCAACCCTGAGCAGGCACCTGAAGCTGTGCAAAGAGTAGTGGGCAAAGACCCTCTGGGAGGGTAGCTGGTGCCCAGGTCATGCTTTGCTCCTTGCCCTGCTCCCCCCATGGAGGACGGCACCCCCAGCTCTGCCCTCCCTGGCCCATCAGCA